AAAATCAATTAAAATATATTAGTCAAATAATTTAGTTATTAGTTTTTTTTCTAAGATTATTAATAAAATTAATTACTTGTTATTTTATAATTAAATTGTAATTTCAGTAGAATGTTAATAAAATATTTACTAAAAAAACATTAATTAATTAATTTTTTGTTTTATCTAATATGTTTTAATTTAATTTAATACAATAAATAGGATTGAATTAATTGTTCTTTAATAATTACTATTATAAATTTCATAAAATTTATAACTATTATAATTAATTAAAATTATTTTTAAACTTTTAATTTTATATATTAAATGGTTATTTAAACTATATTTTTATTAAATAATAAATTTATTGCAATTTGTTAAATATATTTTTTATCAAATTGTTACTAAATTTGATGTTATTGTAAATTGTTTTTTAATTTTAAAATTTGTTAATAAAAACATTTAGTCTCTTTAATAAAAAACAACTTTTTCTACAAATTTATATTTAATTATTTTTTTAAACTGTAATTTCTGATCAATAAATTTTTATTGATTGATAATTTATTATAGAAATAAATATTAGTTGTCGTATCAAATGAATATTTCATAAATTTTTAAATTTTAGATAAATAAATTCAATTTATTAATTATATCATTTTTTAAATAATTTACTGTAAATTTACCATGAAGCTAAACTGTAGTTAGTAAATAATATATTTTATTAATTAGTTTTATTAAAAGTTTTTTTTGTAATAATTAGCATTGAAACTGTTATTGATTCCGTATTGATTACAAATAATAATAATAATAATTAATTATTTAATTAATAATAATAATTATTATTATTATTTATCATTATTAACAATGTATGAGTTATTTAATTATATTATAATTATTATACATGTGTACATGTAATTAGCTAATTAATATATTGACAATTAATAAGTTGTAAAAAATAATATTTTAGTAAATATAAATAGATTTATTTTATTATTAAATCAAAAAGCTGTAGTAATTATTTAATAAAATAACAAATAATTATTTTCAAATAATAAACTGTAATCTGATTCAAATAAACACAATAACAATATATTTATTAATTAAAAATAAATAATAATAGGCAAATATAAAAATAAAAACATTTTATATAATTTATTATTAGTATTTAATTAAAATAATAGAAATAATTTAATATAATAAAGTATTAAAAATTATTTTTAGTAACAATTAGTTTCTTTTAATATATGAATACTATAATTACAATTATTGTTATATCTAAATAAAATTAAAAAATAACTAAAAATAACTAATTAAATTTTTGAGGGTAAATTTCAGAATCTAATTTTTATAATTAAAAAGTTAATTTTTATTAAATATAATAAATAAAGTTCTTTTACAGTTTAATAAAGTAGTATTGATAGCACAAAATATAAATATAAATTATTTATTTACTTTTAAAAATATAATTCGAGTGTAAATATTAATAAATCTCAAATAAATTATAATTACAGTATCTTGTTTTAGCTAATAAATAAATAAAAGTATAATAATAATATATTATTAGTTTACTATTAAGTTAATTAAATTGGATTTTTTGTTTTATAATTAATAATAACATTAAACTTATAATTTAAATAATATTGTGATATATTCATAGTTTTAATATTTAACAATTAATATTCTGTTTATTATTATTTTAATAAACAATAAACTTAATAATTATTTTTTAAATCTATATATATAAATAATTTTAATTAAAATATTACTACTAATAATTTTTAAAAAATAAATTAATTTTATGCAATGGTGCAGAAATAATAAACTAATTATTCATTGTATTAATCACAGCTTTAAATTAATTGTATTATTTGCATATAATCTACAGTTTATTATAAATTATTTTTGTTTTTTGTAATTAATCAATAGTAAACTATAATATTTTTTTAAACAATTCAACAATAATTAATAAGATAAATGTTATTATGTTTTTTTGGCACTGACTGAAAAGTAGACCAGTAGACAGGTAGACTGGTAGACACGATTATCGATTATATATTGATTTACTTTTCGATATCAATAGACTGGTAGACCTGGTAGACCTGGTAGACCTGGTAGACATGGGGCACTGACTGAAAAGTAGACCAGTAGACAGGTAGACTGGTAGACACGATTATCGATTATATATTGATTTACTTTTCGATATCAATAGACTGGTAGACCTGGTAGACCTGGTAGACCTGGTAGACCTGGTAGACTGACTGAAAAGACCAGTAGACAGGTAGACTGGTAGACACGATTATCGATTATATATTGATTTACTTTTCGATATCAATAGACTGGTAGACCTGGTAGACCTGGTAGACCTGGTAGACCTGGTAGACCTGGTAGACCTGGTAGACCTGGTAGACCTGGTAGACCTGGTAGACCTGGTAGACATGGTAGACATGGTAGACATGGTAGACATGGTAGACATGGTAGACATGGTAGACATGGTAGACATGGTAGACATGCATGATAGACATGGTAGACATGGTAGACATGGTAGACATGGTAGACATGGTAGACATGCATGATAGACATGGTAGACATGGTAGACCTGGTAGACCTGGTAGACCTGGTAGACATGGTAGACATGGTAGACATGCATGATAGACATGGTAGACATGGTAGACATGGTAGACATGGTAGACATGCATGATAGACATGGTAGACATGGTAGACATGGTAGACATGCATGATAGACCTGGTAGACCTGGTAGACCTGGTAGACCTGGTAGACCTGGTAGACCTGGTAGACCTGGTAGACATGGTAGACATGGTAGACATGCATGATAGACATGGTAGACATGGTAGACATGGTAGACATGGTAGACATGGTAGACATGGTAGACATGGTAGACATGGTAGACATGGTAGACATGGTAGACATTGTAGACTAATAGAGTATATTTTAATTATATTAAATGATTATATATTAAATAAAAAAATTATAATTTTTTATTTTTATTAAAGTTTTATTTAAAAAAATATTTTAAATCTATTTATAAATATAGGTTAACAATCTTTATATAAATATGTTTTAATATAGATATTTTAATATAATATTTACATTTATTTGATTTTATATTTTTATATTATTTAATTTATTTAATAAATAAAATTATAATAATTATAATATATAATTAAAATCATTTTAATGTTTTATATAAATTTACGATATAATCTGATGTGTCAGTTATTTCTACATTAAAATTATTTATTTTTATATAAGTATCAGGAAAATCATCAGGTATATCAAAATTATCTATATTAATATCATCAAAATCTATTATAATATCTTTAATCCATGCCCTTACTTTTTGAATATATCTTTTTGATATATTTTTTAATTGTAAACCTTTTAAAATACAAAATGCATTAACTATTACACAAACACCACAAGAATTGCCGTCTGGCTGTTGATAACAATCTTTAGATAAAATTAACTCCCAATCATTTTGATTAAAAGTTTCTGTATTTTTTGTTAAATATATAAGATTTAAAAATTTTAATAAACTATAAAATGCTAATTTATAATTTGATATATTTATATTATTTGATAAGGAATCCATTATAATTATTTTTTTTATTAACAAAATCAATAATTCCTAAAATATAATGGTTACTTATTTGATGTTTTATTATATTTGTGTGTATATTAATAAATATTAATTTTTTATTCATTAAATTTTTAGAATATATATTCCTATATACTAAATAATAATTATCTTTTAAAATACAATTAATTAAATTACAATTAATAAAACTTACAAATTCTTGCAATTGATTTAAAATTATAATTAATATTAAATAATAAATAATATTTATAGAAAATAATTACAATGTCTACCATGTCTACCATGTCTACCATGTCTACCATGTCTACCATGTCTACCATGTCTACCATGTCTACCATGTCTACCATGTCTACCATGTCTACCATGTCTACCATGTCTACCATGTCTACCATGTCTACCATGTCTACCATGTCTACCATGTCTACCATGTCTACCATGTCTACCATGTCCTCAATGTCTACCATGTCTACCATGTCTACCATGTCTACCATGTCTACCATGTCTACCATGTCTACCATGTCTACCATGTCTACCATGTCTACCATGTCTACCATGTCTACCATGTCTACCATGTCTACCATGTCTACCATGTCTACCATGTCTACCATGTCTCAATGTCTAACATGTCTACCATGTCTACCATGTCTACCATGTCCTCAATGTCTACCATTTCTACCATGTCTACCATGTCTACCATGTCCTCAATGTCTAACATGTCTACCATGTCTACCATGTCCTCAATGTCTACCATGTCTACCATGTCTACCATGTCTACCATGTCCTCAATGTCTAACATGTCTACCATGTCTACCATGTCTACCATGTCCTCAATGTCTACCATGTCTACCATGTCTACCATGTCTACCATGTCTACCATGTCTACCATGTCTACCATGTCTACCATGTCTACCATGTCTACCATGTCTACCATGTCTACCATGTCTACCATGTCTACCATGTCTATCATGCATGTCTACCATGTCTACCATGTCTACCAGGTCTACCAGGTCTACCAGTCTATTGATATCGAAAAGTAAATCAATATATAATCGATAATCGTGTCTACCAGTCTACCTGTCTACTGGTCTACTTTTCAGTCAGTGCCTCTGATAATTGAATATCTAGAATGATTTTAATATTTATTATAATTTATAATAATAAAAAAAATGAATTCACAGTTTTTTGTACTCTAAATTTTTAAAATTTAAAATGTAATAAACAAATTATAAATTTTTGTTTGATGTTCAATTTTAGTATTAATTCAATAATTATATTTTTTTAGTAATATACCAGTTAGTCCCGACTTCGGGCGGTCCTCACAAACAGATTCAAAGACTTGAGGCAAACATTTCTTCACATACCAGTCGGCGGTAACCTTCTCTCCCTTTCCTAACTTAACGATTTTCACAATACCGGTTGAGCGAAAAAAATGGCGTACATTATCTTTTTTACATGCACTTCACGTTTGGCTAACTTCGGGATCTCTTCATCTTCTATGACCCATAACTTTGCTTCTTTACTGTTTAAATTGTCATAAAAGTACACATATGTTTCATCACCAGTCACTAATCGATAAATAAAGTGATCTCCGCCATCCGAAAATATCTTTAGGTTTTCCCGGCAGATCTTAACACGAGTGGCCATTTGGTCGGCTGACAGCACGTGGGGTACCCATTTGACACAAACATGTCTTGCATTAAGATAATTGTGTAGAATATGATGGACTCTCTCGGTTGAAATATTCAATGTATATGCCATCTGTATTAGTGTCATTCGTGGATCTACTTGAAGTAGTTCCCGAATTCTGGCCACATTTTCATCGGTGGTCACTTCTCGAGGTCGACCTGACTTCGGCATATCCTCAAGTGAGGTACAACCAAATTTGAACTCTCGATACCAATGCGTTACTGTAGAGTAAATAACAGTATTTGATCCCAATGTGTCATTAATTTCATCTGTCGCCTCCTGTGCCGTCAGCGCGCGCCGATAACAATAGGCAATTATTGCCCGAAAATCACGAGAAGCAAAATTTATGGTTTTCTCAGACATTGAACACTTTAAGAAGTCACCAAAACTGAACCAAATGAGCAAATGTTGTGAAAATTTGTATTTATGACTAAAAATAAGTGTACTTTTGTTTAATAATAAAAGTTTTGGCATAATTTACAGTTTTGATGCTTATACTAATTATATACCTACTGTATATTTTATTAATAATTTATTTTATATTTTTTAAATTTATAAATAAAGTATTATTATTAGTTTGAAGATTTCGAAAATCTATTAAATATAATTTTATATATCTGTAAATATTAATAATATTTAGAAATTATTTATTTAAAAAAAATATTATTATTAGTTAATAAATAAATTATTTAAATTAATAAAATAATCTTTTTAGAATTTTTTATATTTTACACTAACAAAACAAAACATTACTATTTACGGTGATGAGTACCGGTAGCTAATTAACAATAACTATCAAAAACAACAACTATGCATTTAAAATATATAAATAAATTAATAAAAACTGTAATTTTTATCGATTATACAAAAATAAATGTATTAAATTAATAGTACTTTTTAAAATTAAAATTAAATTATAGTAAAATTAATAAATTTTTGATTTTCTTATTATTATAAAATTTTTTCAAATAAATTAATTTAGTAAAATTATAATTCTATCATTTTTTTTATAAAATAATATATAAAGATAAATTTTATGTAATAGTAGAGGCTATCTTATAATATAGTAATTTCTAATAAAATCATTCATTATTTAAATAATTATTTACAGTTTGTGTATTAATTAAAATTTTTTAAAACATATATTAAATTTATGTTTAATTTTTTAAGTTAATTTTTTAACACAAACGTAAAAATTATAACTACAGTATCTATTGTTACTTAACTAAATTGTAATGTTAAATAAAAAAAATAAATCAATAAATTATATATTAATTTAAATTTAAATAAAATAAATATAATTTTAATTTAAATTAAATTAATATAATTTAAATTATGACAATTATACATTTTTAAAAATATTAATATTAATAAACTGTAATTTTAATTTATTAATCTCAATTACCATTATATTTATTATTTAAAAATAAATAACTTTAGCGAAAATATGACAACTCGATTTTTTCATAAAAATAAAAATATAACAAAAGTATCTTGTTTTAACTAATTTATAATGATTACAAAAAGTTTTTAGATACTATAATATAGTTTTTAGATTATAGTTATTTTATTGTATAAAAAAATTATTAATTTAAATAGAATTGCAATAACATATTTATATTTTTAACAAAAAACAATAAACTTAATAACTTTATTTATTAGTTATTATAATTTTAATAACTATATTAAAATAAATAATTTAGCAATATTAATTATAAAGAATGATAATTAAAATATTATTATTAATAATTAGTAATTATTAATAATTAAATATTTTTTAATTTTTAGATAAACAATTTAATATATATATATATATATATATATAATTTACTGGTTTTATGAGACTTAATATATTGATAATTTTATTATTAAAATAAATAATTTAAAAAAATACTATAAATGATAACAAATTAATTTCATATTATATATAGTATAAGCCTGAAGTTAATATTTTAAATTTTAATTTTTATAATAATTAATAAGTTTAACAACTAATTATAAAATTATAATTTATAACTATTTTATAGTTTAGTAAATAATGTTATGATTAATAATAAATATTCTTTTTTAAAATTTATATCTAAAACATTATTTAATTAAATAATGAGTTGTAACTTATTATAATTTATTTCACTTATTTTTTTTGTATTTGTATTTATATTCATTTAATAATTTAGACTTTAAAAATATAAATAAAACTAAATTTATCTATATACATAAAATATAAAAATAGTGTCTAGAATTTTAATAAATTAAAAATATTTAGTAAATAAAACATTTAAAATATAATAAATAATAATAAATAATAATTTAGCAAATATAAAAGTTACTGTATTGTTATAATGACTATGATTATAAATAAATTTTTTAATTAAAATTTACACAATTTTTTATGTAATTATTAATTAAACTGTAATTTATGTTACATAAATAATTTTTAATTAATTATATTTTATAAAAATAATTTATTAGATCAAAATAGTAGTTGTATTAGTCAATTACATTAATTTTAATTTTTTGTACTTTAATAAGTTAATAATAATATATAATAAAAAACTAGAAATTACTTTTAAATAAATAAATTTGATAGTTATAATTATATTTATAAAAAATATATAATTAATTTTTTATTATTTGTATATAAATTAACTTGATAAATACTTAATAAACCCAATAGATTATTTTTTATAAAATAATACTAGTATAATAATTAAATACTAGATAAAATTTTTAAAAACATTTTTTTAATAAAATTTTACCAAAAAAAACTGTAAATTATTAAATAAAATAAAAATTTATTAGATTTTTTTCAATTGTTTGGAAATATTATATATATTAAAAATTAATTGTTTAATATGGTAGAGTATAAAAAAAAACAAAATTTGTTTTTTTTGGTGAAAAGTGCTATAAATATAAAACACTAAATTTGTTTGTAATTACAGTTTATAAGTTAATTAAATTGAATTATTTTTATTAATTAAATATTAAAATCAAATTTTTATAACTATTTCAAGTTAAGACAATTTAATTTAAACAATTATAAATTAATTTTTATAAATATTTCTACATAGTGACCACTGGTCATTTTTGACCGTTAATAATTAAACTGACCATGTAAGTAAATCAAATGTATTTATAATTTTTTAATTAATATTATTTAAAAGGACAGAATTGTAATAAAAATAAATTAAAATTTTTGATTTACTAAATAATTGAATTTAATTACCTTATAGACTGTAACTACAAACAAATTTAGTTTTTTATATATATAGCACTTTTCACCAAAAAAAACAAATTTTGTTTTTTTTCATACTCTCCCATAAAAAATTGATAAATTTTTGATTTTCTTATTATTATTAAATTATTAAAATAAAATTATATTTTTTATATAATAATTTCTAATGATAAATTTCATGTAATCGAAGTGACTATATATTATAATATAGAAATTTCTAATAAAATTATCCATTAATTGAATAATTATTTACAGTTTGTGTATTAATTAATTTTTAAAAAAATATAGTAAATTTATATTTAATTTTTTAAGTTAATTTTTTAACATAAACGTAAAACTACAGTAACTATTGTTACTTAACTAAATTGTAATGTTGATTAAAAAAAATTAAATCACTAAATTTATGTAAAATTAGAATAAATAAAATTATAACAAATATAAATTACTGTTTATTATATTAATAATAATAAACTGTAATTTTTATTTGTTAACAACAGTCACAATTATCATTATATTTAGTATTTAAAAGTTAAAAATTTTAGCAAAAATATAACAAATGAAATTTTTTATTATTATTTAATTAAAATAATTGAAATAATTTAATTTTAATAAAATATTAAAATTAGTTTTTTCTAATAAACCGATACTATAATTACAATTAGCGTTATTTCTAATATACAGTAATTAATAAATAATATCAAAATAACTAATAAAAGTTTTGTAAACATTTAATTAAATTCAATTTTATATCTAATTTATAACTTGATTTTTTAATAAAAATAAAAATTATAACTAAATTATCTTGTTTTAACTAATTTATAATGATTACGAAAAGATTTTAGATAATCAATTTTTAGATACTATAATATAGTTATTTTATTGAATAGAAAATTATTAATTTAAATACAATTGAAATAATATATTTATAGTTTTAACATTAATATAATATTTATCAATATTTAAAAAAACAATAAGCTTAATAATATATTAAATAAATAATTTAGCAATATTAATAATAGATAATGATAATTAAAATATTACTAATATAAACTTTTTAAAAATAAATTTATTCTTGGCAATGTTGGACTAAATTTTGACCTAATTATGAGTTATATTAATAATATTTTTAAATTAATTGTATTATTTCTATATAATCTACAGTTTACTATTAATATTTTTTTTATTATTGAAATTAAATTACTTAATATAATTATTTTTAAAAATATTTTAGCTAAAAATTAATTGTGTAAAAAATAGTATCATATTATAAATCTGAGTCTAATATTAACTAATATTATTAAACTGTAAATTTTTTATTGTATAAATTATTTCAATAATAAATTTTATTATTTTATTTAGTATTATTAGCATTAAGTCTATAAGTAGTTAAAATATAATTTATTAAAAATTAAATATTAAATCATTTTTTTTGTTTATAATTGCAAGTAATTAGTTTAATATTTATCAAAAAATAATTTAAAAATATGTTTATAAATAAAATTTCTGTTAAAATTCAATTAAATCAAACAGAATAAATTAAATATGTATTTTAATTTATCATTGTTTTTTTAATTTTATAGTATAATTTCAGTATAAACTAATAAGTTTAAGTTACCGTTAACAAATAAATGTAAATTTAGTATAATTTACAGATAAACTATATTATAATATTAATTATTTATTTTATAATAATATATAGTTAAATTTTTTTATACTAATTTTTATATTATATAACTAATAGTTATCCGGAACTAAACTAATAATTTTATTTCTATTATCAGTAATAAAAAATTATAATTTTTTATATAAAGTATACTATAATATAATGTTGATTTTATAAAATTATATTTACTAATTTATAATGATTTGTTTTTTAAAAATATTTAATTTATGAATATAAATTTTTTAGATATAATATTTACATTTTTTATATTAATAAAGCATTTTTTAAAAACTGTAATCTATTTTTAAAGATTATAGTTATATTATAATTAATACAAATATTTGGTTTTATTGATTAATGTTACTTAATAAAGGGAGAGTATGAAAAAAAACAATTTTTCTCAATAAAAACAAACAATTCTTTGTTTTTTTCAACCAAAGTATGAAAAAAAGGTACAATCTTAAT